CCCCCCCGCGGGTCACGTGTGATAGTGATAGAACACGCTGGCATCATACGTGACCATCACATGGAACGGGATTGTCATCCATCTTTATTCAAACATCCCTTTACAATCTATTTTGTCTCATCATGAAACATTGTATCAATCCGAGCAGGACCGCCCCCTCCCCCGCCTCCTCTATACAGCTCAGTCTGGAGTGTCAATCAGAGAGAGGGAGTCTGAAAGCAGAGAACTGCTGCTGTCCTGAGCCAGTAATCCGCAGTGGTCCGTGTGTACAGATACACGCTTACTACATGACAAAGGATTCCCAGAGCTCCCTGCATTACATACATGCACTATATTACCATTAGTACTGGGACAGGTCGCTTCAGCATGTGCCGACCCCGCTCTGTCACGTGACGCGGCCGACCACTTCCTGGCCGAGTTGCTGTTGTTCCCGGTCGCTCCCGCTTTGTTATAATCTCCTGAGAGCGACCCGTTCTCTCACCGATGTCTGTAGAAGCGTCTGCACGCCGAGGTGCCTCATCCTATACACCGGGGGCCACGGAGGGGATTGGAGGACCTGGAGGGGGAGGTGCCTCATCCTATACACCGGGGGCCATGGAGGGGATTGGAGGACCTGGAGGGGGAGGTGCCTCATCCTATACACCGGGGGCCACGGAGGGGATTGGAGGACCTGGAGGGGGAGGTGCCTCATCCTATACACCGGGGGCCATGGAGGGGATTGGAGGACCTGGAGGGGGAGGGGCCTCATCCTATACACCGGGGGCCATGGAGGGGATTGGAGGACCCGAATCACATGATTGGGAGGGGCCAATACTTCTGGCAATATAGTGTATATATATATATACTTGTTTGTTCCTCTCGTCTCCTCCAGCTGTCAATGAAGGAACTCCTCGTCTCGCTCTTCGACAACCGCACGTGGTGGACGCTCTCCCAGAACGCCACGGCCGAGCTGCCCGCCAGAGTGGACCCCGGCAACCTGTGGCTGGAGTGGGCCAACCCCCAGATCACCATCTTCGGCACGCTGGCATTCTTCATCATCATGAAGGTAATGGACGCCGCGAAGGGACGTCTCCTCCTAGAAACCAATTCCGCCGCGTCACAGCGCGCGCCGCGTCCTCCGGGGGTGCTTCATGTCTGCCGCCGATCTCCACCTAGAAACCAATTCCGCCGCGTCACAGCGCGCGCCGCGTCCTCCGGGGGTGCTTCATGTCTGCCGCCGATCTCCACCTAGAAACCAATTCCGCCGCGTCACAGCGCGCGCCGCGTCCTCCGGGGGTGCTTCATGTCTGCCGCCGATCTCCACCTAGAAACCAATTCCGCCGCGTCACAGCGCGCGCCGCGTCCTCCGGGGGTGCTTCATGTCTGCCGCCGATCTCCACCTAGAAACCAATTCCGCCGCGTCACAGCGCGCGCCGCGTCCTCCGGGGGTGCTTCATGTCTGCCGCCGATCTCCACCTAGAAACCAATTCCGCCGCGTCACAGCGCGCGCCGCGTCCTCCGGGGGTGCTTCATGTCTGCCGCCGATCTCCACCTAGAAACCAATTCCGCCGCGTCACAGCTCGCGCCGCGTCCTCCGGGGGTGCTTCATGTCTGAGAGTTGCGGTTTCCTGGGACACGTCCACCTTCAGACCGCGTTCACACCGGGGCGGATCCGCCGACATGAACGACCCCATACATTGCTATGAGGACCGTTCATGCGACCGCGCGGTTCCACGCAATCGTACTTTCATTACACGGCGCCCGGAGGAAGGCCGCGTTCTGGCTGGAGAGGCCCCCCGGGGGGGGTGACATGCCGAGGTGAGAGGGGACGGACTTTCTTGTTAATGGGGAAGCCGGGTGGCGAGTCATTGCACGCCGCCCGGCTTCCTGAACGGGACTTCCGGTATCGGTAATTGGTATCGGCGAGTACCGGGAAAAAATTATCGGTACCCAAATACCGGTATCGGTGCGTCCCTAATCATAATGTATAATTATTGTATCAGTAATCAGGGAAGTTCCTCATTGTGGCCACTAGGGGGAGCCGGAGGATCATAAAACGAATGCTCCCCCTAGTGGCCACAATGAGGAACTCCCCCGAGTCACTCCGATCCCCTGATTGCTGATACAATGAATATATTAACATCGATTTGTGGCCCCCGCGGTGCCCCCGGAGGAACGTAGAAGCAGTTCGGCATGATGAATGTTTCACGAACGCACCCAGAAGGGTTTTGTGACATGGAGAATGGATACAATTAGGGTTCCCCGGGTCCCCTCAGCAGAGACGCGTCCTCGGGTTGTAGGGAGTGATTCCGGCTCTTTATATCACAGGCGGTGACAACGACGACTTCCTCTCTTTTATTTCTCACTTCCTGTCTTCCAGTTCTGGATGTTCATATTGGCTACCACCATGCCCATGCCCGCCGGGTACTTCATGCCGGTCTTCATATACGGTGAGTCGAGGAGCTGAATCTTCAGTGTAACTCCACCCTATTGTACGGCAGTCGCAGTGATCCCCGCTGTACGGCAGTCTCAGTGATCCCCGTTGTTACGGCAGTCTCAGTGATCCCCGTTGTACGGCAGTCTCAGTGATCCCCGTTTATACGGCAGTCTCAGTGATCCCCGTTGTACGGCAGTCACAGCGATCCCCGTTGTACGGCAGTCTCAGTGATCCCCGTTGTACGGCAGTCTCAGTGATCCCCGTTGTACGGAAGTCTCAGTGATCCCCGTTGTACGGCAGTCTCAGCGATCCCCGTTGTACGGCAGTCTCAGTGATCCGCGTTGTACGGCAGTCTCAGTGATCCCCGTTGTACGGAAGTCTCAGTGATCCGCGTTGTACGGCAGTCTCAGTGATCCCCGTTGTACGGAAGTCGCAGTGATCCCCGTTGTACGGCAGTCTCAGTGATCCCCGTTGTACGGCAGTCTCAGTGATCCCCGTTGTACGGCAGTCTCAGTGATCCCCGTTGTACGGCAGTCTCAGTGATCCCCGTTGTACGGCAGTCTCAGTGATCCCCGTTGTACGGCAGTCGCAGTGATCCCCGTTGTACGGCAGTCTCAGTGATCCCCGTTCTTATCCTCCGCAGGTGCCGCTATCGGGCGCTTGGTGGGAGAAACCATCGCGTACATATACCCGGGGGGCATCACATCGAACGGAGTGGTCCATCCCATCATCCCCGGGGGATACGCACTGGCAGGTGAGACGATTGCCCGGGTAGGGAAGGCAGAAGTTGGGCTTCAGTGGGTAGTCATGACGATCGGAAGCTCCTAGGCCAATCAGGAAATTCTGGGTGTGGCTTAGGAGACCGGCTGATTTGCATATGACAGCCCCTCCCACAGGTGATGTTGAATGAAGGTTTGCCCCCTTTAACTCTCTCCTTCACAGCCTCTCCACGGCGCTGCTGGCGTTCGAAGCCACGGGTCAGATCGCGCACATCCTGCCCGTGATTTTCGCCGTCCTGGTCGCCAACGCCATCGCCCAGAAGTTCCAGCCGTCCTTCTACGACGGCACCATCATCGTGAAGAAACTTCCCTACCTGCCGCGCATCCGCAGCCGCCAGATAAAGTGAGTGAAC